ATTTTGTTACTGAGCAGGGGTTATTACATTTTAAATTAACCACTGCAGAGGATAGTCGGTGCTGATTCCTTTCTTTACATTTTCTTACTTCTTCATAATTCTCACTGACTGTTTGCGTGGGATATATTGACACAAAAACATCTACAATGTACTAAAAGGAGTGGAGCGGTCCACCCCCACCATTTACATGAGTGGGATGGCCCAACCACACAGCTGCTTTGCTGTTGGCTTGTTGGCAAAAGATGTTAATTCAATGTTGAATTATTATCACAAAGGTTGAAGTATGGTTGAGGTCGACAACTGACGGTGGATCAACTATAAAACAACCATCCAACTCTAGCCAATTAACTAATGTTGAAACTGTGTCATTGAGTCAGTGTTGTTTTGTGGTTGATATCAAATAAATGAAATGCCACCGTCGAATCCACCCAGATAGCACAGAATGATTGAAACAACATTGAATCAATGTCAGCCAGAAACACTGAATCAACATTGAAATTGGTCAGTGACTTGTATGTGAATCAACGTTAGGGTTTCAACCATAACTGACATTATATCAATGTTGATTCAACCATCATCTGAACGTGGTTCTGCACACATATTTCTGTTCATCTTACATTGAATCAATATTGATTCAACCTTCATTTGAACATGGATCTGCATGCATATTTGTAGTGATCTTACATTGTTTCAATATTGGTTCAACCATTTTTATGTGAATTTACATACATATGTGTGTTGGTATTACATTAAATCAGTTAGGAATCAATGTTTATTCAACCATCATCTCAATGTGGATCTTATTTGAATCTAAGTTAGAGAATCATTGATTCGTGTACACTTTTAGGTTTGACATACAATTAAAGGTTCTTTTACTGGTGTTAAATGGATAATTCTGGTGAGTATTATGTCATCCAAAATTACCTTACATTACCTAAGGTCCTAAAATGTGGTCACACAGACTTAAAAACAACAACATGGCATTGCTTAAAGATTTTATTTCATTTCAGTCTTTTTGCCGTCCCTTTGGTTGCCTTTCAATGCCTCCCTCCTGGTCTGGCGCATAGCGAAACCATTTCTTTACAGTTTCGCTGTAATTTTGATCAGTTAGCCTGGGTTCAAACTGGCGAGCAGCAGCTGAAAGACACAAAAGAACGTCATTAAGATAGACGGTATCTCACATACAATTTCTTATTATCCCCTACCCTCACTCCTTTTAGTGACTTCTATGTGTTTTTGTATCAACATATCACACACAAATAGTCAGTCATAACATTTACAGACAAGTAAGAAGATGTACAGGACAGAATCTCAACCCAATGTTGTCGATACATAGTGCTTAAATTATAACCCTCACAAAAAATAAAAGTTGTTTCACCCGGAGCCAAAGGAGGAGAGGAGGAGAGTAGAAAAGGGGAGGGAGGTTGAGGGGTAGACGAGCCAGGTGAGGGGTGAGAGGTGGGCGGTGGAGGGAAAGGGGTGTGTGTGTCTTTGGCAGGTGGAGGGAGAGGGGTCGGGGGTTAGAATGGGAGAGGGAGAAGAAGAGGGAAGCAGAGGGGTGTGAAAAACAGCTTACATTGATTGAACATTTAGATTACTAGTTTTTCCCCAAACCTTGTCCTCAATCAAACTGACCTGCATGTTTTCAGTTCAGCAAAACCCTGTTAGTCAGCCATCAATTAAAGTCATGTGTCCCTAATTATGGAAATGCCTAATACTTGCAAGGCAATATGCCCTGAAGACCAGTGCTGAAAAACAATGGATTCGATGTTGGTGTTTCAACTATTAAAATTTGACCACAAAACAGCATTGATTCAATGACACAGTTTCAACGTTAGTTACTTGGCTAGAGCTAGATGGTTGTTTGATGGTTGATCCACCATCATTTGTCGACCTCAACCAAAAACCAACCATTCTGACTATAATTCAACGTTGATTTACCATTTTGTGCAATCTGTGCAGTTTGTTGCACCCCTCATCACCTACTCATTTTACTTTGGGGCAAAACAGATATTTTTAATAATTGAGGTCATGTCTCCTTTTGTATTATTTTCATCCTACCCACCACTCCAGGCCTAAGTATGAAATCCTGCGAGATTTTGTGAGATTTGAGTTTTTAAAATAGGGCGGGGCCTATTGTTTGGTCTGGGAGAGCATGTGGTGGACAAGGAAGTGTAAGGCTGGCTGCTCCAGGTGGGCTTTAAATTGTTGTGATAGTAATCACTTGTTTTTAACTTTTTATTATGATGTGCTTAGGGACGTGCTTAGATGTGTCTCTGTTCCAGAACAACTGAGTTAGATGATTGCATGACAGTCTGGAGCCATCAAGAAGTGCAGAAGGTTGTTAATCATCCACAGATTCCATCCAGGTGAGGCAGAAGGGAAACACTTAAAACATGTAAGGCAGGTGAAACACTGAACTAAACCTGCTAATGACTGCTTCAGTCTGTTGATTCTTGGATTGGTAACTGGTTAAACTGAACTGGACTATTATTACTTGTGTGGGATCTTTATCAGCATACGGACATTTTTGAATGAATTTAATCAACTTATTTGGAAATATTTGGAGTTGATTGAAGATTAAACCAGCTATTTGATGGAAGTTTATTCTGTATAAATTATAAATCATTTTTCTAACTGGACCTTCCTTATGTTTTTTTTTTTGTGTTTTTCAGTCGTTGCTCTGCAGTTTGACCAAAAGCTGACTCTTGAGGATTGCAGCAAAACTGTCAAGAGGTGGCTTCATTACACGCCAGAACGAGAGGAAGACATCACAAGGAATAAAAGTGACGCCAACCAGAGTCAAACTGGGGTTACCACAACTTGTACTGTTTCCCTAGTTCATACAGTACAAAGCTTAACCTCATGGACTCTGTTCTTCTGTGGACAATAGACTGTTATTCTGACAGTCAAAAAGGAGTCAAATATGTTTAAAGATTTGTCCCCCTTTTCTTTAATAAAATGTTATATCAAACCTATGTTGTCAATGTTAAACTTTTGTACACAGTTTACTCATGTTCTGCCAATAATATAGTGTTTAACACCAGTGAAGAAACTTTTAGTGGTATGTTTATGTAGACCTATCAGACCTAAAAATGTACATGAATCCTTAGCTTTCATTCAATATGAAATCAACCCAAATCTGCATGTAGATCCACAGTCAAATGAGTGTTGAATCAACTTTGATTCAATGTAAGATAAACAGAAATATGCATGCAGAATCACATTCAGATGAAGGTTGAATCAATGTTGATTCCTAACTGATTCAATGCAATATCACCACAAATATGCATGTAAATTGACATACAGATGATGGTTGAATCAACATTGATATAATGTCAGTTATGGTTGAAACCCTAACGTTGATTCAACATACAAGTCACCGACCACTTTCAATGTTGTTTCAATGTCAGCGTTCAACGTTGATTCAATGTTTCTGGCTGACATTGATTCAATGTTGTTTCAATCATT